TTCCTGTGGCCTTCACCTGTGTGGGCAGCCCCGGCCAGACACCCCAGGCTTCCAGTTTGAGGGGTTGGGAGAGCCCCTCCAGGGGAGTCCCTGCAGGATGACTGTGACACCTGTACCTTACCTGGTGGGGAACACAAAGCAACTCTCTTTTTCCGTCTCTCTCCGCTCTCAACTCATTCCAAAAATCCTGGAAACGGCAAAGGCCCAAACGGAGGGCTGAAACAAACAGCTCTTTTATATTTCCAGGCAAGGTAGGGGACAACAGAGGCCTCCCCAGGGAGACTATGGCCCATGGAACCCTCACCAAGTTCAACAAAGCAAAGCCAACCGGTTCAACTTCCTGCCTCAGGGGCTCGTGGCGCTTCAAAGCTTTAGACATAGAAAGTTCACCAAGAAGCAGAACTCTTGAATGGCCCCGCGCACAGATATTATCACAGTGAATCGGAACACAAGACATGACAGGATCTCTCTACCCGCCCACACTCAGCACCCGTCTGCAACATCAGAGGGTTCCTAAGCACGGCAAGCACAGAACTGGCAATGCCCCAGGGTCCCCGCTGACCTGTAATGGCTGCTTCCTGGCCCTCCACTCTGCTCCCGAGGATCCACTGCCATTTCTCCTTCTCCTAAACTTAGCCAGCTACAGCTTAGAAAATGTGGCCCAGCCTCCTGCTCCAGAGACAGACTGAAAAAAAAAAAAGAAGATAAAATAAACAAAATCTCCCCTCTGTGAGAGCCTTTAATCATTTTTATTTTTTGATACAGTGCAGAAGTGACTTAAACAATAAAAGTATAAACTTGAGGATCCAAAGGGAGAAAAAAAAAAACAACGTAGCAGCGAGCACCGGATAGACACGGTTACACGGCACGACTGTCAGAATTCAGCAGGGAGAATCATTGTCCCTCGGTAATTATGTGCATCCATTAGCGTGGCATCCATTCTTTGTGGGAACGTTTGGTGACAGTCTCCAGAGCAGCACACAGCTCGTGTGGTCTGCAGTTTGATGGCCACCCCACATCCCCTGAGGGAGATGCCACCAAGACCACCACATTAAAGGCAGAGCTTGTTGGGTTTTGTTGCTTTGGTTTTTTTCTTTCATTTCAGATGCTGCTGTAGAGACCCAGAATATTTATTATAATTTTATAGACACCGCTAACAAAAGCTTCACTCACGGAGGAAAATTAAATGTTACGGTTTCATGAATGATGATGGCGGGGTGGGGGTGGTAAGCTGCAGAGGGTTGGGAAGGAGAGGGGAAGTGTCATTTCCTTGAGGAAAGAAAAATAAACGGAGTAAGCCATAAACATAGCTTCATTCCCAAGCCAGCAATTCTTACCCTTAATATGTTTTGTCAGGCAAGTCTTCAATACAGATTAAAATGAAATGCCAAGTAATTTCCACCTCTCGGCCGCTCGTGTCTGTGAACAATGGAGATTGTTTTGATGAATGTCAGTTAATAGCACTTGCAAGCTTGTGAATTTAGTCCTAGCAACAAATGGGGGGGTGGGGTAGGGATGGGGGGCGGCTATCTGTGCGTGGAGAGAAGACTGTTCCACAATCCCTTTCTGACCGATTCGGTTCATACCAACCCACATTGAAAGCGAACCAAAAACAAAATCAGGATGGCAAAGATAAGATGACCCTTTCTCGTTAATGAGGCCTAAGGCATAAAACATCATTTCCGAGAGCTGAGTCCCCTGGGAGGAAGATTTCTTTGCACTTAGGATGCTTTGTCAGACAGATTCCATTTCCGTGGCAGGAAAGGGGGGGGGGGGCAGCTGCATTGCTGGGGACCAGGCCTCTGGTTTAGCTGGGATGTTTGCAGCAAGTCTCACCAGTGGCATTCTGTCCCCCGTCCCACACACTTGCATCCTGACAGAAAGCAGACGCTGCGAACCCCCGCAGGCTGAGCCACGTGATCTCACTCGGTACACATCACTGCCTTTGCAACTTCGCATTCCAAACCCCCAGGGTGGGGTAATTTTGAATATCAGGAGTAGAAGAACTGAAGCGCCAGCAGAATTCTGTCACCCAAAGGATTTAAATCTTCACCTTCTCGTGACCGACACGGGCAGCGTACTTATTCACTCATCCTATTCTTAAGCTTGGTTGGAGGATTTGGTTTTGACTTATTCTCTTATGATTTGAAATAGGAGATTTTACTAGAAGTTGCTGACTAATTTTACGGTTGTGTAGGTGACAGTAATACTTCTGTCCATCGGTCACTGTGAAGGAGGTCTCCATGTTTAAATTCTAGTAGGTTAAAGTCGTCTTCTCTTCGAAGTAGCGAGGATCCGGCCATTAACTTGACTTTGGTGCTTACATGTTTCTCGGTGGTTTTTCGAATCACTGGTTGCCAGATTTTGGAGCGTCCAACTCATTTTTCTTAGATGTTGAATCAAAAAGAAATTCTTTCAGGAATGCTTGGGATGAGAAAAAATTCTCTGTGACTAGAATGAGAGGTTCAAGGGCAGGAAGAATTAAAACTGAGGTGTGTCGAGCTCAGCTATTCCCATTATTAGTTAATAGCATGTGTGCCCATGCTCATCTGGTTTGATCCCCACACTGACCCTCTAGGGGTCACCATCCCCATTTTACCGTGAGGGGACTGAGCTCACATGGCTTTCCCAAGACCCTGCACAGCCAAGAATCAAGTTTCCGGGTCTGTCTGACACCCGGTCCCAACTCTCTCACCAAAGCCTTATCTTCAGAAACGTTATCCCTAACTCAGGCACTGAGCTTAGTTGCTTAAAAAATTGTTGGGCAATACTTGTACACTGGTGTTGAATTATTTAAAAATGTTTAACTTTGCACACTTTGGTCAAAGTCAATAATTAGTCTCAGAGCATCGAACATCAGTGATCCCCGAGAGCTGAGTCTGTTTGTCAGAGGATTGCTTTGAGTTCAGGAATCATACACTACCTTGTGTACATTTCAGGAGCATCCTAAGGGTTTAGATTCTTAGATATCTGAAAGTTCCATTTTGCAGCCAATCCCAGGCTTTTCAAAACTAAAATTTAAGGAGGCGATTCTAAAGCAGGAATAAAATGGAACAGCTTATGTTGGTCGCCCTTCGGCAACCAGGGAGTTTGAAAAGCAATGGAGAGTAGGCAGCCGGCCAACCTTTGAGCAAAGGAAGGGCGATGCTTCCTGATGATGCCTGGGGGCTGGAGGACTGCGGCCAGAGCCCAGTCATGTCCCTCAAGACTGACCCAGAAGCCCACTTTCTCTCCTCACCTCACTACCCCCTCCACGACCTTCGTCATCGCATCATCTGGGAAATGCGAAACCAATCTGTCTGTCTTGTCATCACTCCCACTGGGAGCACGTGGGATGCAGGGGGAAGCACATGGGTGAGGCTGAGTCTCCATTTCCTTGCCCTTAAAATGGGGGCAGCGATACCCACCTCCGTGGGTCACCGTGAGGCTCAGACAGAAGGTGTGAGGAGCCCCTGGACCAGCTGGCAGAGTCAGGCTTGGTGAAAAAGGTGGTTACCGCAACAGAGGCATTCCGGAAGCTGCCAGCTTGTCCAGGCATCTCTCTCCTCCTCAGCCGACCTGAGCTGAGGCTTTGATAACAATTGCAGACCCTCTGGCATGTGGGAGTTCAGTGCTGGGCAGGTGAACGCTGAGCCCTGCCTGTGCATGATGGGAGAGGCTGCTCCAAAAGGCAGCACGGTCAGACTCCCGGGCATCACCGCAGGCTCAGTCCACTGGGACCCTTTCATGATCAGAAGGATCCCTCAGTTTCAAAATCAAAGTAAAATCTCTGGCAAAACACCAAGAAGAGAGGCGAGCATCTGTCAGCAAATTTCACTTCCCCAAGAATTCTTTCCATGTGTGGAAACACTGATAGAAAGTAGGGGAGCAAAGATTTGGGACCCAGGAGGCCCTGCCTCAGCCTAGACCCCTCCCCCGGGGGTGGACGCGGTGCCACCCAGGGCACAGGAGTGGGGAGAGGCCAGGAGAGGGGCATCACTCCAAAAGGATTGTAATGTTGTGCCAATTTATATTAGTGACAACCTGAGGCATGCACATAGGAATGGATTCTAAGGGTATCGGACTAAGAAGGATGAAATCGATTCTGAATCTAACGTGTTAGCTCAAACAGCCGGAAGTGGCTCTGAGAGATCGCTTTGCGGTCGGCTGAAAGTAGGACTCGGGCTCTGCATTCAGTGAGCGTCTGGAATTAGACTGGCATAATGGAAGGAAGGAATCCAGGGAGGCTGGGGCGTTGGAGTGGATTTGTCACATGCATACTTCCTCACCCTGTCCCCAGAGCAGGCTCAGAGGCACTCTCTGCTAAGAGCCTGAGACATGTGTTAGTGAGGGTACACCAGCTGCCATGTAGAGCTCTGCGGTGGCTGAAATCTATATGCTGGGGGGATGTTGCCGTTGAAATGGGCTGATTTCGATGGGAAAGATGGGGGTCGCTGCGTGGCAAAGTGGGCACAGCTACCTAATGGGCATCAAAATGATTTTTTAATATTGCCGTCCAGCTCTCCTGCCAGCACGAGCTCCATGATGTTTCCTTTCTCTGCTTTTACTAGGCGTACAACACTGGGTACCCTGTCTTGGCCCTGAATCTGCATTCCTCTCCTTCGATCCTTTTGTTTTTCTTCTTAACCGTCGATGTCAAAGAAAACCGCTTCCCAGAATGTGATAGGTTCTGCCAACGTGTCATCTGCAGACGTAACGCACTGAGCCCCGAGGCGTTTTTCAGGATGCCCACACTCCTCCAGGGCTCCCTGAGACAGAGCTGGCTACAGGGATCCCCACGGTAGTATCTGGGCGTCTTTCTGTGCTGTTAGGGGCGTCTTTCCTGCTGTGGTGAGCCATCAATGACGACAGGGAAGATTTATTAAGCCTAAGGATTCTCCTTTTTTTTTTCCCTCTAATGGCCGAGGAGGATAAGCGTTACTGTCCCCATTTTACAGGTGAGGAAACTGTTGGCTAATCATTGGCAGTCTGTCTCACTGACCTTTTATCTCTCCACACAGGTACCCAGCGTGTCTCTGTGGCTGTCCCCTCAGACTTTCTTCACACAGAGCTTCCCGCCAGCTCACTCTGGTGAGTACTCGGTGGTCAGACGCGCAGGACCAACCACAAAAGGTAAGCAGTGTCTTATAGTTAAATGTACTTTGCAAGGCGTAGGGGGGATATTTTGCAAATGGCAGAGCCTTACATGGACCTATCATCTCATTCAATGATAGTGACCCAGTTCCCTGTTCTGCGTGACACAGCTGAGCTCGGGGTTGATGAGTAGGCCCGAGTCGCACAGGGGCGAGCGGCAGTCTCTCTCACCTGACTCTGGGGTTCCCCTTGAAGAAGCAAGGTCATGATCTCATGGACTTCCATAAGCTGCCCACGGTGCTGTTAACAGGGGGTTCAAACCGAAAAAGGCAATAGAAGCGGTGTTTGGAACCGCCGGTCGGCGCTCTGAGCGTCACTGTGCTGAACCCCGACTCAGAGCCGTCCTGGTGTGCAGCCTGCTCACCTGAGACTCCCGCCAACTCAGTCCAAATAAACGTTGTGGGCGAGCTGCCTCGTCCTTCATCACCACTTCACTTTGCTGGTCTGAACCCACGATAGGGGTAAAGAAAATAAAAAGCATTAACTATGAAACAAAATTTGAAATATTAAAGACGTTTATAAGATATGAATGGCCCCTACCAATCTGTGACTTTCATAAAGGTTAAACAGCTGCCCCCAGAAAAGTTTGCTTTAAAGCCCACTGCCTCAGTTTTCCTTATCTGCAAAATGGGGACAAAACCATGGCCCATTCCCCATCTCCTCACGTCCCATCTTAGTGCCTGTTGAGGACAAGGAGAATTGAGGTCAGGTGTATCTTCAGCTGAGAAGACCAGCCTTGTGAGGGTCTCCCCATTTCTTCAGCTTCCCCTGAAAGTGCCCCCTTCTCCTGAACTCCAGGTCCGAAGCTGTTGCCTCTGGTAGGGGACAAAGGAATAACACCAGCTAGGTCATGGCCTCGGTACTTTGTCTAAAGAGTATTTCGTCATCATCCCGCCTATTTTTTTTCTTGCTAAGGGAATGGAATGGGAGGGGAAGAGGGAAGGGAAGAGGGAGGGCGGGAGGGAGGGAGGCTCCCGGGCCCTAAAACAGGGAACTCTTCATTTTCTTGCCACATATGCTTGAGACCCAGAAAAGCATGTCACTAGAAGCATTGCGTCACTAGAAGCATTAAGAGGCACTTAAGGATGCTGTGATAATGTTAGCTGTGCCCTGTCACTTTGTCTTGAAAAGTATATAAGTTCAAGAGAACCCAGTAGTGAGCCCTGACTGGCAGAATTTCCCACCTGCATGCCCACTCACCCCCACCCGCAGATTTTCAGCCCAGAGTTAAGGTTGGTAATCAGGTGGCCCTTCTTTGGGCCAGAACAGGCCCCATGAAATTCAGCTGAGTTCCAAGGTTGCCTTTGCCAAGTCTGAAGTTAGAGTGACCATTTTCTGGGACTTGCTAGCAGAATGAAGAATGAGACTGGACACCCTGTTTGTGTCGGGAACAGGGACGGAGAGACTCAGCAGTGCCATCGATCAGGAGGTGTTTTCTGCGCCGTACGATGGAGTTTTGAGTTGGCTGCAGCTCCTGGGCAAGGCACATGATGTGTGATTTTGAGGCCCCAGAGTGTTAGTCCCATTGTCGCAGTCAGGGAACTGAGGTGCAGGGTGAGCGGGAGGGTGTGGACAGCATCGTGAGGTCAGATCGGGGGCGGGGCTCATCCTGGTATCCATGCTGATCCCTGCCTTCCCTTAGCATCCACGTGCGCTCGGGGACGGCTCCTTGGCCTTTTCTGTGTCATGGACCCCGGCTCACCGTACTGTCTCTGAAAGCTTAAATGTAAATACCTCGGGTTTCAAAAGTGCTTTACTTTGTCTAAGTATTCCTTGTTCAATTTCATCAAATACTTAGAATTTTTTTTTAAGTTTTCCAAGGAAAACTCTCACCTTCCTGTTCCTCGCTCATGGGTCATGACCCCCTGCCCCAGGAATGTAAGCACACACACCCCCATGTGCAGGAAAGCTGCCCCTTGTCCCCAGGACTCAGAGGCACTTTCTAGGTGTGGCACCTAGAGCCAGGGTTCCAGAGGAATTTACTGGCTCCTGCTGACCTGCCACTCCTGCGGGGGCTAACAGAGGTGGCTTCTTGAGCGGCTCCAATAATGACATTCTGTAAGAGTCGTGTCAGTGATGGCTTGTGTACATCTAGAGTCTGGGGAGAGGACCATCCATGAGGTGGCAGCCCCCAGAAGCTGGTTCATAATCACAGAAAAATTTGGACTTATGATTTGTCTCTCAACTTTGCTAGTGATCGCTCCAAATCATGGCTGGGCGATCTAAAAGGCCGTGAACGTGAGCCTGCAGCAAGCCATCGAGGGTGTGCAAGCACAGGTGCGAGTGTGTGCGCGCCAGTTCGGGGCTGTGTAAGAGGCGTAGCGATGCATCCGTTCGCACCAGCCTGATCCTCATCCCTCTGTCCTGAGGACTTGCTGGTGTTGTAGGAGTAACTCATCCTATTCTGAAGCAGAACCTCCCCTTTCTAATGTGTTAAAATACTTCAAAAGGTTTCTTCCTCCAAGACTACCTTCGTTGCTATATTTTTTTTTATAATTTCTTGGGAGAAATCCTGGAGGGAGCGAGGGCCTTTTAAGGCCAGTTGTGACAGAAGACTTAGAACCTTGCAAGAGGAATCCCCCAGGGCTCTGTGGCCAGGAATTGTGGGAGGGAGCAGGGCTTTCAAAAAAGAAAGAGTAAGTCTCTGCTGAGAACAGGAAGTGCCCAGCTGGGCCCCTGTTGTTGTTTTCAAACAATTTCTTTTCTTCCCTGAGAAAAACCACTGGATGGAGCTTCCCCAGTGTACATTTTGTCTGACAAGAAAGCACTTTACCCTCTGGCAACAGAAACACCAAGGACCAAAGCCAGGAGGAAGGCAGAGCAGTTCACCTGTCCCCGAGGGGATGTGGAGCCCCAGGCCCCGCCCAACGCCACCTCCGTCTGTGCCAGGAGTCTGGCAGGTCCAGAAGGTCTGTCCCCAGGTCCAGGGTGGGCAGAGGAACAGGAGAGGTCAGTCAGCTCTGGTCAGTGGGTGATGGGACTTTGCATTTGAGAGAAGAATGGAGACGGGACTGTCTTATTAATAGACATTTGTCACACACCAGGTTAGGCAATAATCTTCCCATTGTCGATATGTGTTAACCACCCGCCTCCCACCGCCTCGATATGTCTTCTGGGACACAGCGGAGGGAGAGGCGTTTTTAAAAGACATCCTTTTCAGAGAGAAATGCAGATGTGCGTCTTTGTACAATGGGCATGTCCTCAAAATGAAGCGCGTCTGACGTGGTCTTCAAGGCATCGTGCAAACTTGCTTTTTAATGGGGTCCTGGATCTCTTAAAGAAGTCACTCCTTAGAGAGTTTTTGTACAAAAAGAGGCTTCCATGTATTGGGTTTCTTTAAAGCAAGGTTTTCTTACATTTTCACTCTTACATTCTGGTTCTTAAAATAGTAGTGGAATTACTTAGGAAAGGCATCGAGCCAGCAACCCTTTTGGAACCTCGAAGTCCCTCAGTCTTTGCCACCCATGATGGATACATGTGAGATTGTCACTTTCCTGGAATCGGCCCCTTCCACACAGCCCCGCCCCCCACAAGCCCAGGAACTGAAATGACCGCGGTAAAAGAAAATTCAAGAACTTTCAAGCATTTTCAAATTCAATGAAGAATTAGCAAAGCCAAGTCAAAAGCAGGTCTCTTTCAATTGTATGAAATTGTCAGATCCTTTTGAGTCTGACGGGACACGAGTGCTGAGCACATTCCTAGAAACACCAAAGAGACCGGATTTAGCCAACTTTGATTTGACTGAAAAAGAACAGAGTGGGGGGGAGGGAAAAACCCCACAACTAACTAAGGCACCAAATTCACACCGTAGAAAAGAAGGAATCATAAAATCCCTCCATGATGCTAAAGTAGCATTCATGACAAGTTAAATTTCTTTTTCTGACAGTGAACCAGCCACTAAAAAAAGCTTCCTGCAGCACATGGCAGGGAGAAGGCTTCTCAAGCCTCCGTGCTTATTATCCTGCTCCCAGCCTTTATTTTTCTCCCACCCCTCCCCCTAGAACTGCACTCAGATCCACCAATCCATTGCAAGGAGGAGCTTCACGCATCAGCCTGGGATGTGGGATTGATCTTGCCAGAGGAAATGCAATGGGAAGCTAATGCTGCCTTTTATCCAGAAAGCAAAGTTCAGAGATGTTTGCATTCTGCTAAGTAAGCATGGCTCTCTCAAGACCCAACCTAGATGGACTGCCCTCTCAGCAGCAATTCTCACCAAGGCAACAAAAAATTCTCACCAAGGCAACACAGATGTGCCTCGGTGGACTTGCCTGAATCACGAAGGCCAGAGTCAGAACTGCTGATTTTGCAAATAGCTTGATTCTGTCATGTTTTAATTAGTCTGAAGTATTGCAAACACATTCAAGAGATTGGCAAATGAAAACTGGATTAAGATCTGTGCAGTAGACTTGGGAAGTATAGGGTAATCACTGTTGCATGCTGGATGCCGGAATTTCCTAATTTCTGTAAAAATGAGCCTTTTTAAAACTATATTGCCTTCTACCTACCCCTTCAAAAAAAAAAAAAAACCCTACCTACTGCATCCGAGGGTGATGGAGGGCTGCTGGAGACCTAAACTATATTGCCCTCTACCTACCCCTTCAAAAAAAAAAAACCCTACCTACAGGATTCATCAAAAAATAAAATGAAAAAAGAAACATTATATTTGGAATAGCTGTAACTTGGAACAAATAAATAATGAAGGGAGTTGGTACTTTGGGATGTCCACCCTTGACTTAAGTGCCCAGCAGAGGAAATGGCATCACATCAAAGGTATATTGTGTAGCCTAGTGGCCTGGAAAGCCAGCAGCAATGCAGCCATTGTCTAGCTGTGACTTTGGGTAAGCTGTCAGTTGAAATCGGTAAAACATTATCGTCTCACCTCAACTAGAATTCAGTGAGATAATGACTAAAGTGTAAAGCCTGATAACTAGGACATAGTAAGTTCTTAGCTAATGACATGATTTTACTAGAAGATTTGGACTTCCAGCCAAGAATGGTGGAGTAGGTAAATGCTGTGCTCACCCCTTCCCATGACCACATCAAAATTACAACTAAATTATACAACCGCCACCCTGAGAACAACCTGAAGACAAGCTGAACAGAAGTCTTATAACTAAGGATATAAAAAAGAAGCCATATGGAGACTAGTAGGAGGGGCAGAGATGCAGACCAGGCAGGTCCCACACTTACAGTGTGGCGATTAAGAAACAAGAGGGATATCTCAGCTATGGAGGTTCCTCCTGAGGAGCAAGGGGTCCCAGCCTTACACAAGGCTCCCCATCCCGAGGTCCCAGTGCTGGAAAGAGGAGTTCCCATGATATCCAGCTGTGAAAACCAGCAGGGACTGCATCCGAGGGTGATGGAGGGCTGCTGGAGACCTA